AACATGTCCCACAAGAAAGGTGACCATGCCAGGGTACACAGACAGCCCACCATAGGACAAGGAGGAGACATATCAGAAAGTGCCCATTCTCCCATCTCCATACATGTAAAGTGACTTGTGCTTCCTGATGTGTGCATATGATCATTAAAGACAGTTCACTGAAGTTTTGCTTTCTTGGGGAGAATGCACAGTCTAGGCATTTGGGGACACAGATTCAGAGCAAGGTGCCTGGGGTAAGTTTGCTGTCTCCTCACTCTGCTAGTTTCGAGCCCCTGGTAAGGAGCTCAGCTCCTAGATGCCACTTCCGAATTTACTGAGTGATCCTTACTGAAGAACCTTACTTGCAAGACCCTCACTGCTATGGAGGGTGACACAAATAGAACATGGGGACTACCCTGCCACCCTCACTGGGCCAATCTTTCATCCTCAGTGGAAGGTGGTAATAGTACCACTTCGTGCACATAGTTAGTGTAGACATTAAATGGGAATACTTTAGGAATGAGTAGCTACTCTTGTTAGTATTGAGATTAGACCTGCCTACCACTGGTAGCTGAGGAGGCCACACTTTATGCGTTAGTCCAAGGGTCCCTGGCTCCAGGGAAAAGGCCTGGAATTCAGAGGGGTTCGGGTATTCATCCCTGAGCCTGTCCAGCAGAAGCCTTCAGCTGGCTGCGCTACTCCAGTGCCCTGTGTGTTGCCCAGCCAGCATGTAGCTGGCCCCTGCACACACTCCCCTCTCCCATCCCATCTCCATTCCTCTGCCACAGTGGCCCAAGGACTTGGCCTCTGATTCCGTCTCTGTATCTGGTATCCCGGTGTCCCCAGCTCTTTCAGAATTACTTCTAGCTGCCTGGACAGCCCTCCCCCAAGGAACAGCCCTGTAGGACACAGGCAGCCAGTGTGTGAGCCAGCTAAATTCAACGTAGTCTCCAATGCAAAATGGTTTTCCCACTTCCTTCCACCACACCCTTTCCCATCCCTTCGTGACATTTAGGGCCAATTTCATAATGTTCCAGCCACTTCAGTGAAGAAAACATTCTAATACAGTCACATTTGTCCATTTCATATCCTGTTTAATGGCTTGTTTCTTAGTGCCCTTCCCCCATGCCACACTCCAGCCCAGGGATTTACAGAATGGATCTGTTCTCTCTCCTCCCCTCTGCCTTCCAAGTCTCTTTAGAATTATTCAGGAAGGAAGAATTTGGAGCAGGATGTGTATCTGGCAGGCCAGGGCAGGCAATGGTCAGCTTTGTGGCACATGCCAGGAAGATGCACTTTGCTTCCCCTGTTTCCAAGCCCTCTGCTCCTGCCAGCCTTGTCCATAGCCCATTGCTCCTGGGGTCCTCCTCGCCAAGCAGCCACCCAGGAAGGGACACTGCTGACATTCTGTAGCAGCCAAGTAAGGAAAGGCAGGGCAAGGGTAGATTTACCTTTGTGTCTGTTTTGTTCTGATTCTGCCTGAGGGACATCCAGGGTAGAACAGGTCCCTTCAACAATGGTGGTATTTTTGTCCTTATGAATGGCAGGCAGAGAACATAGCAGACAAGTGTCCATGCTGGCCTGGCCTGTCTGTCCCAGAGAATGACTAAGACCTTCCATGATGATCTTCAGGCCACCATTCCCATTCCAACGTGAAGTTGGGGTTGATTTGCCAAGATCACAGGCTGCCCCAAGGGATGGGAACTCCCCAAGAACAGATGCAAAGAGGCAATTGTGTGCCACAGAGGGTGACCAAACCTGATGGAGACCAACTGCCTATTAGAATAATCAAAGGTCAGAAAAAAAAAAAAAACAAAAAAAAACAAAAAAAAAAAACAATCCCACCAAGGGAAAAATAATACCCACAAAATTCCCTCTGTGATTTGAGGAATGATCCTGTGTAGCTCTTCTGGTAAGGAAAACCCATCTGAGATGTGGAGACAAAAAGTAGGAACAAAACAATGTGGGATGTGACTTGGGAGACAGGCACGGAGATAACGCCGGGTAAAAAGGGTTAAAGGAGCAGGAGAGCTTTTTACTAATGCACCAGGGGAAAAGAGATACCGAAGTGAAACAGGCCTTCTAATAAATCAGACTGGCATGAAATTAATGATGGGTCTGAAATGGCCGAGATATTGAACTCATTCTTCAAATCCTTCCCTGTTGTCGTCAGCAATAGAAATGAAGAGGCATAACAGAAACCTTTTGAAAGCAGCCACCAGCAGAAACAGCATCCAGAGGCCGGGTTATCTGATCACCCCACGTGGGTAGACATGCTCCCCAGGGGTGGTGGCCACGATCAGTCTCCTTACCTGTTAGAACAGTGCCTCAGATTCAGCTCACTGCCACTGTGGCTACGGTGAGTAAAATTAGGGACACACTGAAGTAAAGCCTCTATTCTTGGTGGAACAGAGGAAGAAGAACGAATCAAAAGCAAGAGAGGGTCAGACATGATGACACATGCCAGTAATCCATGCACTCAGGAGGCTGAGTAGGAGGGTCATGGTGAGTTCAAGGCCAGTTTGTATGACATAGCGAGTTCAGGACAGACTGAACTATATTAGGCCCTGTCAGGGGGGGAAAAAAGGTCCTGGTCCTGCTGAAATGTGGTCTGTTCATATCTCTTTGGTTCTGGGAGATGGTGAGCAGGACCTGCTGAGAGGTCCTGCTGTAGAAATGAAGGCAAGTGCTGGGAAATTCTCCACTTGCAAGATGAGAGACTTTGAACAAGTTAAAGCTCGGTAGCTGTTAGGTTGGTTTGAATCGCACTGTGCTTTCAACAGTGGCCTGGTCTCCTTTCTCTCCCTCCCCAGATGCCAAACTAGGGAACAGCAGTGTGGTTGCTGCAGGGCCCCTGCACTTTCAGTGCATCTCATCTAAACAGTTCCTACAGTTTGGTAGTTGGAGGGACTCAGTGATGGTCCACACATCCCCACTAGAATCTGTGAATTCATGAGACAGCTCCACGTAGGTCCTGGGCCTGTTCTCGTAAGTGGTTTCCTGTTACCCCTTCTCTTCCCTAGACTCAGGCCCATTCCTTGGTCTCAGTACCCAAACTCCTCTCATCTATTTCTAGATAAAGTCTCTAGACTTTATCTCCTTCACTTCATCCTCCCAGGGCCACCACTGAGAGTGCCAAAGTACATAATGCAAAAAGGCAAGTGAGTTAATGTGTTGGTATTGGGGCCAACTGGGGCTTCAACAGACAAAGTCTTAATGTAGAGAGTAATAAGTGGTGGTCATTCAGGGATGCAGCATGGTCTTGGAGATGGTTGGACCATACAGCCTGCTGGTAGTCTAGGTGACAGTGGAGATGTTTGCTTCTGAGCTGGGCTGATCCTGTCTAGAGTCAGCCTTATTCATGCCTGAACCCAGCACAAGGGCTATGGCTCTTTGGTCAGGGGTCATACGTGGTAACAGCTCAGAAAGGAAACCTGATTTCACATCTCCACTAAGTTCTACTTTATAGTTCAATTACCTAGCTACTGATCTTTCAAAGGGAAGAAGTGGTGGAAGAATCATCTCATTTATATGAATTCTCAGTTCTTGTCCCTCCAAATCACCATCTAAGGTAATACAATTATTTGTCTATAAATTGTTGAATTAATTTTGCTGAAGCAAGTAAAATATGTACAGTCCCTGAAGCTTATTTACTGATGAAAATTCATACATATAGTAGATGTTCTCTTGAAGAGTATGATGAATATAAATGTGCCACTTTTGGATGTATCAAATGTGACACCGCTATTTAAGGAAAGCTTATAATGATAACTATTTAAAACTAAATGTGCTTTATAAAATGATTAGTCACATGTAAATTTGGAATTTTCGGATGATCTATTATTTATAGCACAGTGTATTTGCATACTATATACTTTAACTGTATCTTTTTACATGCATGCACAAGTATATATGTGTGTCAATCTGATGTGACTAGCTAGCCGTTGTTGTGGCAAATACCAAGAAAAACAACCTTAAAGGAGGAAAGGTTTGCTTTGTCTCACACTTTCAGAGACCTCAGCCCTACTAGTTGGACTGACTGCTTTTGGATCTGTGGTAAAGTGGAACATCATGGTGGGAATGTGTAAGAAAAAGACAGTTTCTGTCATGGTCTCTAGGAAAAGAGAAATAGAGAGGAAGAGGTTGGGCCTCCCAAATACTCTTCAAGCACAGGCCCCAGTGATCTCACTTCCTCCTTATAGGCCCCACCGTCTGAAGGAGCCACCATCTCCCAGTGATGCTGTAGACTTGGGAACCCAACCTCCAGCACGTGGGCCTTTGAAGAACATTTCACAGCAAACCATAATAAAGTAGTAGCTACACAGGCTGAACTGGCAATGTTTACTTCTGCTCCAGTCTGCAGCTATGAACAATCCAGGGTCCACTGGGAGCCGGGGGACTTGGACCTTCTTCAGGAAAGCTGCTCTGCTCCCTCAGGCCATGTGATACGAAGAGTAGTTTTGTCCCCTTTCCCATGCTAAAGAAATGTCACCTTCTGCACACCCTCCTTTGCACATTTGTTTAAATTTTGCTTCCAGTTTTGTACAGGATGAAAGAGATACAAACAGACCACTTCAGACGGAATTCATGGTGATTCAGATTGGAAAAGGGAGGTCTCTAACCTCATAGACTTGACTGCAATTTCCTGCCCAGCTTTCTGAGCAGGACTCTCTGATCCTTTAGCCCAGTTATTTATTACCTATGTAGACTGTTTTTGGAGATCATTGCCCATTACTTTTTTCTGTCACTATTTTTATGAGCAAGTCCAAAAACTTCCAATCTTAAAAATGTGGAACAATTACATCTGTACTGTAATTACTTTCTGGGTTGGTTCTAGCACCATATGGTTGTGCTTTAGGGATATTCCTAGTATAGAATTAAGATGTTTAATTTATAAATTATACTACGCAACAAGCACACAGTCAAAAGAGGATGAGAAGAAAAAGACCTGCTCTATTGTTAGAAACTTCCTGTCTTAGTTACTCTCTCATTGCTGAGACAAAATTTCTAACACCCACAAATTAAGGAAGAAAAGATTTATTTAGCTTACAGTACAAGAGGTTTCAGTCCATAATCAGCTGGTTCCATGGCAGGGTGGCCTGGAAGACATGTCACAGAAGAGAAACAGTTCGTGGTGGTAACAAAGAAATGAAGGGACATTAGCAGCTTCTTTCTGCCCCTTTATATTCTATCCAGGCTGCTGGGATTAGGGCAGTGCCAAACCAATCAGTGGGCTGATTTAATAATCACATAATCTTAATTCCAGGATTAGTCACTCTAGATCCAGCCACCTCTGAAAAAGTCCCACTTGTGACTAGAGGCTCTGGGGAGACAGCTAGACAGAAGTCATTTCACTTCCTTTTACTTCCTTTTTGATGTAACATTGATACCTTAACAAGTCTTTGGGTTTTCTCTGGATGGTATTGGGCTCTTGTGAGACATTCTCTCCCCTGCATTTTGTTACTAGGTCACCCTCAGTGATGGTGGCCATGGCCCCACGCATATTCCTGCTCTCTCTTGTCACATCTGCCCTCCATACTGTGCATCATGCATCTAACATCTCCTAGGAGTTGCTGGTACTATGAAACCCACAAGGCTCTTATAATGGACAGCTTAAATCAAGAATAGAAAATACATTTGCAATATTTGTAAGCAAATAAGCTCAAAGTCACACCAGAGGCAGCAGAGGTAGAGCCACCCCACAAACAGACAAAGAGCTCCATGAAATCCTGTACTGTGAAGTCTATTTCCTCTGCAGCTGTGTTTGCAGCCACATGAGACCATGGTCACCAAGACAGCACCTACCGACCCCCTTAAACCAACAATGGGAGCAAGCCTGAGGTCATATGACCCTCAGATCCCAAAGGGAAACTTCTCATCTCCTCACTCCCACATCCACAGAGACTCCCCAGGGCTTCTAGCATGATGTTCCCAGTAAGCGAATAGAAAAGCTAATCAGATTCTTGCCCATAAACTGTTGAATTGGTGAACATGTTTGTCTGGTAGAGTTAAAATGTTAATGATATTCAAAATGTTTGGCGTGTCATGAATTCACAAATCACCTCATCTATATTTCATAGGCACAGAAATTTGGTCCTTTCTTTCCAGCTGTCCCTCTTTAGCTGACAGATCTATAATGCAACAGTGGGAAGGATCCTAGTATCACTTCTGTGCTTCCCCTGTGGTCTCATTTAACTTCTGCCACTATCTCAGACCCATCTTCAAATACAGTTGCACTGGGGACAGGATTCTATATGTGAATCAGGAGGGACAGGTGAGGACAACCTGTGGGCCCCATGGCTCAGGGGCTTAGAGTACAGGCTCCAGCAGGTGGCCATGGATGAGATCCACTGCTGCATGCCAGCCACATGCCAGATGTGTGGCTTTGTGTAAGCTGCCAGCCTATGCCTCGTTTCCTTGCTTATACTAATGCTTCCCACCAGTACCTCCCATAAAGAGTGCATTTGAAAGAGCAAATTTACCAGTGTTTTTAAAGCTCTCAGAGCCAATCTAAGCCTCAAAGTGCTACACAAGCAGTAGCAGTTACCTAAATTAGCAATTCCACCTCCAATTTTATCTTAAGGCAGTGACCAATATCTTTATTTATTCACTCAACAAATACTTAATGAGCTCTGACCACCTGCCAACTGTTCCACTAGGCAATAAGAAACAGTGATGGAAAAGTAGTGTGATTCAGGATATATAGGCAAGAATTTCATTGTCACTTTGTATGTGATAAGCATAATAGAACAATTCAAATGTCCTCAAACAACTTAAATCATGCAAAGTTCGTGCAAGATAACAAAATATTGACAGGGAAAGGATAAAAACATAGAAAGAAAATACCTGCCTCGGGGCCTTTACATTTGCTGTTCTTGCTGCTTGGAAAACCAGATACATCGTAATCATTCAGTTCAATAACTGTTGAGAAAAGGAGCTAACTGAAAAACATAAATTCCAAAAGAATACGTACTATATAGCTATTTTACAAATAGTAGAAAACCTTGAGAGTTGACAGTCAAATGTGACAATTACAGTGATTACTTCATCCGATTATTGATGACTCTGAGTCTTTTTTACTTTCTAAATTTTATAAGAAAATTATTTTTTATTCAAGGGGTAATTTAAAAAGACAGTCTGTGTATAAAGGATCACATGCAGTTAGCTTTCTGAGTGAAATACGAATGCAGATGTGGCACCAGGGCACAGGCTTCTGTTGTCAGACACTGAGCTGTGCTGGGCTCAGCGCCCCACATGGCACACAGTGTGTCTGATGTTGGGGGATGCCTGCTCAGGGGGCTCTAACACCAGTCCTCCCGAGAGTCCTGTTCCCAGAGTAACTCGTTCTTCCCCAGACGACAATGATTTGATTTTGGTCCATGGCCCAGCAAGCTTTTCGCTTTCTTTCCTGTGATGATGTAAACATTACATAAAAATCTACCATTTCAGCCATTTCTATGGCACCGTTCTGTGCCATAAGCACATTTACAGTGTTCTGCACCCATCACCACCATCCATCTCCAAAACGTTTTCATCATACTGAACAGAAACTTGACACCCTTGAACACCAACTTCTCATTCACCTTCATTGCTCGGCTCCTGGCTGGGCCATCTACTCTCTAGCTGTGACTATTTACCTGCTGTTGATCTCTCATATAAGGGAACTTAAGAATTGTCCTTTTATGGCCAGCTTATTTCACTTAGCACAACATTTTTAAGTTTCATCTATGTGTGAGAATTCTACTCCATTTCAAGGCTGAACAGTATTCCATCGCTTGTACACATCTCGCTTTGCTTATTCATTCATCCGTCGGTGCATGGTCGGGTGTTTCTACCTTTTTGCTAATGGGAATGATGCTTCTGTGAATACAGTGGACAGATATCCAGTTGAATTTCTGCATTAAATTCTTTTAGATAGATATTGGGAAATGGGATTTCTGGGTGCTACAGAAATGCTAACTCACCCTCTGAGGAGCCATCAGTTTGGTGTGGTGGCTGTGCCAAAGCTCTGGACTCAGGAAGCCAAGCTGGTGGCACTGCCCTTCCTCCCTCTCTCAACATTCCTGTCTTAGCCCTTTAGTACCCGCAGTTCCCTTCTCCCTCGCAGAGGGTCTCAGAGGAGGAAACTGTGTTAAGCAGTTGAAGGAGCCAAAGCTCAGGTAAGAGGCTTTGGTGATTGTTTTCTTCTTGCAGAAAGGGGCAGTTCTCAGAACCTGCATTGCCAGGTTGAGATTCTAACCCTGACTCCACAAATATCAACTATATGAATACCTCCCACCTCCAGCAAGCATCACAGCCTCAATCTTGTCCTCTATTAAAATGCCTTTATTTTTCTGGTTCCCAGAACTGCAAGTAGATTTCTCTGGACACAAGCATGCCTAGATAAGAATAAAATGTTATGTTAAAGTGTTTAGATTTGGGGAAAATGCTATTCTGAGCAAGTGATATCATCTCACTGCCGAGATAGTACTTGTCACAGATGGCGTCCACCAGGGCCCATGGGATAGTGACACACCCCTGGTTCCAGCCATCCTACACCCCACTGCTCACAGGGAACTGTATGCTACATGCATTTCTTTTCCTTATATAGGAGGTCGTCTCTCTTGATGGCATATAACCGGATGTTGGCTTCAGAGATTAAGCTTCAGAGGAGACATTAGCAAAGCAGAAATCAGAAAAAAAAAAAAAAAATGGAATTGAAAACTAAAGTAAATCTGGCCTTCTTTGCCCTCCTAGTGTAGATTTCATTCATGATCACTGTTTCATTTCTTCACCTCTCTGAGTTTTGAAGACTCATCACTTCCCAGGGACAGTCCGTCCTGCCCATGTGAGTGGTAGGCAGCCTTTCTCCATCATAGAGAACTGATGAATTTGTATGAGGTTAGGCAATATAAATCACAACTGACCTCAAAAATGAATCAGGGAGGTTTCTCACTCCAGCTTGTGCTGGAGAGACATAAATTGGTTTATGATTTTGCTTACAGATGTTTATTTCTTGGATTCATTCGAGTTGATCTTTGGAATGTGCAGCTGCCTTAAGTTCACGAGCCTTCACAGCTGGACGTAAAGCAGACTATCTATCTGCCTAATCTGTTACCTCGGGGATGCACCAACAAAGAGGCACACCCACACCAAGCAGTAGCTGCTGCCCTTGTCCTGTATCCCAAAGCTTTGTGCCATTGTTATTGTTATAGTTGATGCCTTGTATCTACTTGAGAAGTTTAGAAGTTTAACTAAGAGACTTGCAGGGAGTCAGGATCCTTACTTTGTAAATATCCTCATCCTGTGCAAGAGGAGGGTAAGGAGATTTTGGGAGTGTTGCATCTGCCTTGGTGGGCAGGAAGTGGCCTGCATACAATATAAGGGAGGAAAAGAGGCTTGCTGTTCTTCTGCTTTTGTTCTGGTTGCTTTTGCTGGCTGCTGCCTTGAAGTGTTGCCCCCGTGCCATGCCACCCTGCCTTGGAGCCAGTTGATTATGGACTGAAACCACTACAAACTATGAGCCAAATAAACCTTTCCTTCTTTTATTTTGGTATCAGGTGTCAGGTATTTTGCCCCAGAGACAAGAGAAAACTAACCAAGACAGTTACGGTTTTATGCCTTTGCAGCAAATAACATGCCTCCTCTTTCCTCATCTCATCAGCCTTATTCTCCAGGAGCAGAAAAAAATCTGCAGTGATGACAAGCTGGTGTCCTGCAAACCCAGCAACCCCAGGAACCTGTTTTTAATACATCACTCCATTGCTGACAGTTCCTATTAGCTCCCCATTTATTGTTTGTAGCTGATAATGTCCTAACCAAGGAACCTGATTGGAGGGGCTGCTTTCATTTGTATCTTTAAATAAACCCAGCTCTGCCTTTCTTATCTGGCTTGACTGTGAAGTTCTCTGGGACAGGACCTGTCTCACCAGTGATAGTGTATGTGGCACATAAAAAGAGCCAAATACTTTTTGAGTAAAGAAATGAACACTCATCATTTTAAACCTCCATCATCATCATGATCATTCCGTGGAGAAGACCTAGAAGCAGACTTCGCTTAGAATAGTAAGCAGGGCCTTAAGAAATCTGAGTGCTAGAAGAATATTTTCTAGTACTCACTGATGGAGTAGAGCCCTATGGTCTCCCATGCAAGCCAGGGCTAGCAGTGGATCTGGTTCATGTCTGTTAATGCTCCTCAGCCAAAGCTTTGCTACAAGAGAGGTGACCTCCTATAAAGGGAAAGAAATACATCTGTAGCATGCTACCCCCTGTGGGCAGTGGGTGTAGTGTGGCTGGAGGCATGGGTGTGTCATTATCCCACTCCACTGTCCCTGGTGGACACGGTCTCTGACAAGTTCAGAAGTCCCTGCCCATCTTACTAAACTCAGCCCAAGCTTTGCATAATGAAGGCTCCCAGTTTTGCATGTGATCTTGCTGCTGGCAGAAAGGAGCTGGTGAGGCTATGTACTGCAAACTTATTTCATTTTCCCCACCTCCTTTCTGAGCTCAGGAAAAGAACATGAATGTCACTGCTATTTCTGTCTTATAAATGCTAATACCACAGTATGCAGTACAAGATGTAAAATAAATGCATTTACCTGTGATAATGCATTCATTTAATTTAGATGCTAAGTACACAAGGGAGACTATAATAAACAAGGTGCTGAATGATTAAAATGAACCTTTAATTTCTCACAATTGTTCAAGAAGGAAATTACAGGCAAATATTAATAATTTTTATAATGATTGCTTCACTTGAGGTAAGCAAAAAGACATTATTTCCTCCTAGTATATAATTTGCCCCATTCATTCTAATAAATTCAATTAGAGACCCTACTATTGTTTTTAAAAACCATTCTGCTACCTAAAGTTCTAGCATGTGGACAGCAAATATTTCTAGGTGTTCATAGAGATTTAGAACTAGAAATAACCATAGCAGTAATTCTAGTTTACTAGCTATTATGGACTGCAGAAACAAGGCAAAGAAGTTAAGTAACCTGGTCACAGATGACACAGGGAACCAGTGGCAGCATCCATGGTGCATTTTAGAGAGAAATGTTTAGAGAATAGCTCTCCTCACTTGATACAAACATCATGAAAGATTTTGGTAACTGTAAAAGAAAATATTTTCTGAGTGAATCAACTCTTAGCTAAAAGAATGTTCTCTAAGCCACAGCACAAGGCACTAATCTCAATTGTCTCTCTCTCAGGGAAACTGTTCTACACAAAGCTAGATGATCAGAAGCAATGCCTCTGACATGCCTCCAGAAGCCGGGACTAGGGCTGCACATTCCTGGAAAGGATTCCTCACGGGAAGGAAATCTGCAGGTAGGTGCGTACAGCAGGACATCTGATTTTCTCCCATCACACGTCATGCAGGCTTCCCGTGGCACCCTGGTGTAGCTGAGGATGTTGCTCCTGATTGGGGGCAGCTGATTCTGGGGGTTCTGGCTGCCCTGTGCCCACTAGTTACTGCCAGGCTCAACTCCTTAGCACACATGTCTCACCTTGAAGTGGCACTGGAAAGCTCAGCTTTTCGAGAGGTGCAGTCACAAGACGGTGTCTTGGCTTCCAAGGCCAGTTTGAGGGTCACCCATGACAAAGTGTACTGACGCATGAGTGGTGTGAATTTATTTCCAGCTCCCTGTGTGTCTGCATTTAAGCCATCAGAAATTGAATAAAAGCTTAAGCTTAATCTCTACTTTACCAGAGCCTAGCAGCCAGAGTGGCTATGAGGTCACATGCAGAATATCATCCTGAGGCTGACTGGAGTTAAATATTTCATTATGCAGTGACCTTGAGTATGTTCAAATGACAGGCAGGTGACAGCAGAGAATATTAACCCTTGGGGAAGAAGCTGAGCAAGGAGCTGCCAACAGAAGCTCATTTCTGTCCCTCTTGATTCCTTCAGTAGATATCTCTAAGCATTTCTTAGCTGAGTC